TTCGGCGTAGCCTCGATCGGGTTCCTTCCCGCCCGAAGGCAGAGAGTTCAACCGATCAGCCGCTCAGCCAGTCGCCCGACTTCGGACTGAACTTTCTGCTTCCTCTTGAGGCGCAGTATTTATTACGTACTGAATAGTCCGTTATGTTATTATGGGTAAGGTTCCATAACAATATGTCTTTTGGGAATAGAATTTTCCAATCGTTTTCTTTATGGGCTCAAAAAATGTTTACTCTCACGTTTTCATTTTATCTATAATTGTCCTTTTTGTTTCCATTTTCTTTAAAACCATCTCTTTTCTTACATGCTCCTTCCGCAGTATTTTCATCATTCTTCTGTAGAACGACGTCTTTAAAGTTCTTTATTGCTTCAAGTTCTTTATCTGCGAGAAAATTTTCCAGTATTTTCCTTATAGTAGAATTGATTTTACATAGCGCTTCAATATTTTTTTTTATTTCTAAATACATCAGGACACATACACACAAATAGCTAAAAATGGATCATAAAATATTACATCATTACTTTGCTTGTTATGTAATAATGTTTTATGTTGGAAATATATTTTTGTCGTTGTTAGTCATATCAAGTTTTGTCATTTGTGGTCATCCATACTGAAGCTTGCTTCTGAGACGCTCATAAATTTCAGCGGGGTCTCTTCAGATGCCTGTATGATTAACTGATTCAGCTTCTAGATGATATTTGAAACACATCTATCATAGTTATAAGGTATCATGCACATGCTGTAAACTAATGTATTTTAACGATACTTTATTCAAAATATATGCAAATATTTTTTTCAACCGCCACTTAATAATTAAAATAAGTAAACGTTTGATAAGGTAGGTCACAAAGAACTGTTTGATCTGCAAGGTAACTTAAACATATTTCGGAAAGATGTTAGACTAACCCAGGACCTACATAGGCAGCAAACCGCCTGTATATGGTAAAAAAAGAAAGAAAGAGGAAAACAATCAGTTCCAGTGATTGTTATTTTTCGGCTGAGGTTCGTGTCGTGTTCAATACCAGGCTTATCCTCTCATCTATCCGTAAGGATGTTCTCCAACCTCATCAAGTTAATTCTGTTGTATATAAATACATTTGTGGTTGCGGAGTCAGCTACATGGGGAGGATTACTCAGTGACTAGGTGCGAAGATAGAACAACACGTGACAAGTAAGATCAAGAATCACACCTTGGTTTCAAATGAACTAATCACAAATAGCTACTTATCCTCAATTTGTGACCACCTTTTAAAGAACAGTAAGCGTGCGGCCGAATTCAGTGTTGACTGGTTTACTGTTTTGTCCCAGTCACACTCTTTTTTCATGTAAAAGTACTAGAGTTACTGTATATCAAGTCTCGGAAACTGTCTCTCTGTAAACAGCGTGATTGTTTGCTGGGGCTTGCTATCACGAGTCTCTAGTACTTCCTCAACTTTTTCCCCTTCTCTATTCTCTCGTCAATCATTCGCTAATTTAGATTTATTGTAAATTTTGCTCTTTTTCTCTCGATTAAAAACTTTGACGGGCGCGACTGAAACCAGTTGTTTTACTCTTTCATTTTTTTTTAACATCCGCTTTTAATCATGCCAATATAATATATATATATATATATATATATATATATATATATATATATATATATATGTGTGTGTGTGTGTGTGTGTGTGTGTGTGTGTGTGTGTGTGTGTGTGGACATGTAACGGAGTGTGTGTGTGTGCGTGTGTGGACATGTAACATGGACGGTAATAGTGGTTAGCGACCAAAAATGGATTGCCCCCAAATTCTACTGTTTGATCAAACTTTTTTTTTTCTTTTTCTATATATATCCAAGTATAGGATTGGTGTATACGGAATAAATTCCAATAACCAACAAATACTATTCTTAAAAGAGTGCTCAATACAGAGTAGAGCAGATATAATTATTTATTTAAAGATTATGTTATAAAATCACTACAAAAATAGCCATTTTGTTTCAACACCTCCGGTGTCTTATCAAGTGATAATGTTGAATGTAGAATAAATGGTTTTAAAAGTTTCAAATTAATTAACGATCCTTCGCAAGGGGAAAACTCTGTTACAAAAGCTAGAATAACCAATCAAAACACAAGTATAAGAGAATTCAAAAAAATTAACAACGAAGTAAGGTTATAATAGCTATTAAAAGCTTTAAAGTTGGGGTTATACTAAAATAGAATTAATTCTAACCAATAAGTATTAAATTATATGATAAAATTTTATATTAAAATTAAAAGTAAAAAATTACCAATTTTGAAATCTAAATTTAATCTCTATTAAGTTTAAAATTATAAAATTACTGAGGAGAAAAGAAAAAATACATATGTTATTCAATTTATTTTTTCATTGAAATTACGTTAGAATAGTTGTGTTTTGAATGGTCATTCTAGCTTATCTATCTATCTATTTATCTATCTATCAGATAATACTAATATTAGCCGTTTTCTCATAAGGAAATATTTGGCATTCAGTGATTGAGGAGGCAGTGCTACTCACGGTTATAATTTATAGCATCTTTCTCTTAAAACAATTTTTCAGGCAGTTAGGTTTTTCAAGTCCAGTAGCTGTTATGGCTCTTTCCAGTACTGTTTTTGTCTTTTACTTTCTTCTTAACTTTTTGAAGCAATGTGGAAAATCAGCATCATGATTATGTCATTATTTTTTCTTAAGTTACCTGGGATATCATTTTTAGCTGTTGCTGCCATTGAAAGTCCTCAGGTGATGTGGTTTCTGTTATTTGGTATTGTTCTTTGTTTGTGATTCTGTAGCGCAAGTCTGTAAGGCTTGCTGAGCTCTACACTTTTTAAAACATTTTTAACCATCGATCTAAGAAGTAGGTTGATTCAAAAAAATTTCAACACCCCATGAATATATATATATATTGAGTTTTGTTGAGTCTGATTTGGAATCTCTTCGTCACCGAGGCCCACTTGGGACAGTTGGTATAATGTCAGCTTAACAACCTAACTGTCAGTGTTTCAATTCTCGGTAGTGGATGCGCACTGCTGATGAGTCCCAAATATAGGACGAAACGGCCGTCCAGTGCTTTCTGCATTCTGTAGAGGTTTCTATCAGACTCGATAAATTAATTAAATATATATATATATATATATATATGTGTGTGTGTGGAGAGAGAGAGAGAGAGAGATAGAGAGAGAGAGAGAAGGGGGAAAAAGAGAGAGAGAGATAATAACATCAAATGGAAAAAATAATCCAAGTGGTTCTTTTTTTATATACAGTGCAATATGATTGATATACATCAAAGAAATGTGTTAAACGTTCCTTTGATATATATATATATATATATATATATATATATATATATATATATATAAATATATATATATATATATAGATAATCCCAGGAGGATGAAATCCAGAGAGCTCTCACCACTCTCTGTATCGCCTTACATCAGCTTAATATTACCTTTCAAAAGTGTAAGTTTAAATTAATTTATTTCATCGTTGGAAGTGAGGTCTGATGATGCAGGGAAAAAAGAAACTCTCTAGGGAAATAAATTATAACTATGGAACCTTAAACATTTTTTGGTTTGCTTTGAATTAATATATATATATATATATATATATATATATATATATATATATACAAAATTTAATGATCGAAATAAAAGTATAAAACTTAATATTACGAGACATATTAAAAACGGGCGAAGCAACCGGTTTCGCTCCCGCTCTTCAGGCTTCAACGGAGATTTAATTTAAAATTAACACAGAAAAATGTACAATAAAAAGAACTTCCTTTTATTGTACTTATCTCTAACCTTGGAAACATGAATTAAAGCCCAGTAATTTTAAAAGTTAGTCCAAAATTCGCTTGAGGATGAAATGGAACTAATGTCTTTAATTTAATTGCAAAATTAAATTCGGGGCTTTTAGCTTCCATTTTTGAAACATGGTTAGAACTGTGTAGCGAAAAAATATTTTAAATCAATTAATTTATAATATTAATGCTCTGTAAATTTACATTGAACACTATTTTGTAAAAATAAAAATATCTATAAGAACACCGGATTATATATCTTAGTGTTCTTTCTTTTTATTTATATAATAAAATATGTACAGTGGAAAACTGGATCAGGAATTCACAACGGGAATAGGGATCACCATTTCGACTTAGAAATAAATACATTCTTATTGTTCAAAGTAGTGTCCAATTGTATTATAAAAACCTCAGAGAATTCCAATAGGATGTCTTTAATCATTTCTAAGATACAACAGTTTAGAGTTTAATCTAACAATTGGACAATCTTGCTGTTACACGATTTGAACAATTTTGCTGTTACAACCGATATATATATAATGGTTTGAATGTCATAGGGTGCTGTAAAATTCTTGGCACGAGTTATTTCTCAAAATCTTACCATACATCAGAAAATTTTGTTTAATCTTTGGCCTTCCGAGGATTTTTCAGCACCCCTCAATTTTGTTCATATATCTTTTCATTGTAAATTATTTTTATATCTGAGAGAAATAAATAAATATGAGGAATACTTAAGAATGTATTTGTCTGAGATTATGAAAATATGGGATGAAGAAGTGTGTTGTGTGTATTGATGAGGAAGTGCTCTGGTTAGTTTGGGACATAACACATTGAAAATGAGAGAGAGAAGAAATCTAAAGAAGCAAATGAAACAAGGGACAAAGAAAGAAAGAAAAAAAGAAAGAAAGAAAGAAAGAAAGAAAGAAAGAAAGAAAGAAAGAAAACGAAAGAAAGGACTGGATGTAAAAGCGAGGCTAAGTTAGTATGCAATAAGGAAGGAAAAACTTTGTAAAAAAGAGAAAAGAAAGAAAGAGCTAGATGCAAATGAGGGAAAGTTACGATAGAAGGAAGGAAGGAAGGAAGGAAGGAAGGAAGGAAGGAAGGAAGGAAGGAAGGAAATTGTAAAAAGAAAGAAAGAAAGGACTAGATATAAAAGCGAGGCTAAGTTATTATGCAATGAGAAGGGACGAAAGGAAAAATAATTCTAAAAAAAAAGAGAAATGATTGAAAAAAAGAAAGAAAAAATAAAGAAAGGAGAAAGAAGGCAGATATTATTGGGAAGAAAAAAGTTTGAAAGAAAGAAAGAAAGAAAGAAAGAAAGAAAGAAAGAAAGAAAGAAAGAAAAATAAATGCAAAAGGAAAGAAGGACGGAAAAATATTGCAAAAGTAAAATGATTATAATGAGAGAAAGGCGGGAAGGACGAAAGAATAAACAGAAGTAAAAGAAAAGAGGAAGAAAGAAAAAAAAAACAGGAAGAAAAGAAAAAAGAATTAGAAAGAAATAAAGTTGGTTAAATAAAACTAAATAGATAAATAAATACACATCTACAGAAAGAGAATAGGAAATTTCCGAAAATGCGAAAAAGGAGCAAAAGAAAGAAAGAAAGAAAGAAAGAAAGAAAAAAGAAAGAAAAAAAAGAAAAGGAAAGCGAGAACAGAACAGCTTGAAAAATATAAACAATTAAGAGAAAACGAGGGAAACACGAAATCTTCCAGAGAAAAAGAAAAACAAAGAAAATAGGAAAAAAGAAGAAAGAAGAAAAAACGGAAATAGTGTGAATAAAAAAGCAAAAAACAAAAGTAAAGAAAACAAAAATGTGAATGAAACTTAAACAAAATAAGAAGAAAAAAACAAAAAGAAGTATAACATATCGGTGAAAGTAAATGAAGAAGGAAAAAAATCTCGAGTAAATGAAACAAAAATATCGGAAAAAAAATAAAATATAAAAAAAGAAACAGACACAAAAAAACTGTCAAATAAAAAATGACACGCAAAAAATACAACAAAAAACCAGAATGCTTCAAGAAACAAAACGAAACAAAATTGATAAAAGGTGAAATCAGAAACGGAAAGAAATTGCTGGCATGCATCCATTCACCTTGTTTCTTGGCCTGCCATTGTGATTGAAGCGATAATCAAAAATCCATATTCTACAACAATTCATTGAACGAGTAAATGGGAGACAGACACACGCCGATTGCGCCATTGCTTCTCTTTCTACTACTCCTATTCTCTTTCCGCTCGGCTGCATCTGCCATTTCCTCACGAAAAAAATAAATTATCGACATTTTCTTTACGTCTCATTTTATCCGCCATTTTGTATTTGCTGTTATTTTCACCTAACGATGATTTCTTTATTTCAAATTACCTATATCCGAATCATCTAGTTTGCATTTCAGTTTTATTATTTTCCCCTTGTAACCGGTTTGTCATAAGAGCTATGAATATTCAGAGCAAAAGACAAATTAGTGATTTGTTGTTTTATAGATAATACATAGCATTTGACAAGGTACGTCACAAAGAACTATTTGAACTGCTAGATAAACTTGATTTTTATTTAGGAAGGATTATTATTAGAATAATACAGAACTTATAGCGGCAGCAAAATGCCTGCATACGGATATGAAATTAATCCAGTAAATACACAAAAATAGAGAGAGGCGTAAGACAAAGGCATGTATTTTCACCAGACTTGTTCAAATTTTATGGTGAAGCAATCTTGAGAAAATCAGAAGTTCCCTCCAACTTAATTATTGGCAGTCACAATCTTAACGATATTAGATATGCAGATGAAACAGAGCTAATGTTAGACACGGAAAGGAAACTGCACGAACAACTACAAAATTAGTAAAGGAAGGTGATAAGAAAGGACTAAGCAACAATTAGAAGGGGGAATGTATATTTTGCAGCAAAAAAAAAACAAAAACAAAAAAAACATTATTTACATTATTCGAACTACTATCCTCGTTTTTGTCGCCATATTTATCACAACGTTTCGGCCGTTGTACGCTCCGGCCTTCTTCAGGTGGTTGGAATTTCGAACTGAACCCTTTATTTCTCTCACCGGAAGAAGGCCGGAGCGTACAACGGCCGAAACGTTGTGATAAATATGGCGACAAAGATGAGGACAGTAGTCCAAATAATGTAAATAATGTACATAATACCTCATCTCAGAAATATAGACAGACTCTGAAAAACAAACAAAAAAAAAAAAAACAGCCCATCATGCAAATTTCAAATTGAAGATCTTCTTTTATGGGTCGTGTCCTTTCAGGACGTAGGGGATCATAGCTCTCCAACTCTTCCTGTATCTTGTAGCTCTCAATATGTTTTGTCTTTTTGTTATTTCTCCAAGACCCTGTTCTGCCGTCTGCTTAAGACCGTTAAGTATGTCACGCGTTGCTTTCCCATGTCCCCTCTTTCCCTCTATCCGCCCTGTGAGTATCAGATTTTCCAAGCTCTCTTTTCTCAATACGTGTCCTAGAAAGTTCATGACATGAACACCCTTGGGCATCGCATCGTCAAAGCGGCAGCATTGACGGCCACATTGTGCAAGAGAGCATGAGGCAACAAGCAGCTGTCTTTGCGCACCAAACTAAAAATAATCCAAGCATCGAAATATGGACAACATACGTCAAGCAGGAAATTCGCCTATAAAGCTTCCATCTCCGCTGCCTACGACGCATCCTCGGCATCACATGGAGAGATAAAGTTACCAATACTGCTGTGCTGGGACAAGCAAACTCCTGGAGCATACATCTTCTTTGTCAACGTCGTCTTCGATGGCTGGGTCATGTAAATCGAATGAATGAGGGCCGTCTACCAAAAAGATTATGTAACATGAGCTGGCCACGGAAGACCATCCGGTAGGTCACCTGGCACTACTTTTCAAGGACGTTTCCAAGAGGTACATGAAACTTACAGGTATCGAATCTGGAAGCTGTGAACAGCTAGCAGACGATGGCGGTGACTGGTGTTATGCTGTTCAAAGAGGAGACACGAAAGGTGGGAAAAAGAAAAAAAAAATGTCAGAAATCAGAAGACAGCGTCGGAATAAGCGAAAGAGAGAGAGAGAGAGAGAGAGAGAGAGAGAGAGAGCGAGAGAGAGAGTGTGTGTGTGTGTAAGAGAGATCCCAGTCCTTCACGCTACATTCCGGCTTCGTCTGTCACGCCTGCAGAAGAGAGGGCCATGCAAAATTAAACTCTTAAGCTACTTCGAACGATGCACACAAAAGGATTAAATTGTAACCAAATCTCGCGAGATAAATGGGTGGCTATTTTACTACAGTGTAACCCGGATATAAGAGCGTTGTCGGGACCGGAGAAGAAGTCTCTTATATCCGGGTTTCTCTTATATCCGGGTTTGGTCTATTTTGTTTAGGTAAGTATGGGAACAATTTGGGACCAGATAAAATCTCTCTTATATCCGGGTTTCTCTTATATCCGGGTTACACTGTATTATATTACGTAAAGACATCGACATGATAAGAAGGGGTTCAATTCAAATAGTTGATCAGATTCTGGGAAATGTTGGGCCGAGAACATTTCAGCACCTCTTTTATATATGAGCATTATATTCAAATACTTGGAAGAGCCTTTTAAATCTTTTAAAGTAGGTTGAGATAAGCTTAGTCAACACACAAAACACGCACTATAATAATGTAGAAATTCAGACAAAGATGGATATATATATATATATATATATATATATATATATATATATATATATATATATATATATATATATATATATATATATATATATATATATATGGTATCCATAAAGTTCGAGTGCACTTTAAAAAAATTTATAACTTTATTTGTATTTGCGATAGATATAATCTGTAAAAATGTTATAAAGTTTAATGTACCTAGTTTTAAGTATAGCTAAAATAAATAATGTGATTTCAGGCATTACTGTAAATCAGTTAGCAAATGTTTTCTGTGAACTGCAAAATCGTATTACCCTTTGTATTGCAAATGATGGAGGAGATGTGGAAATTTAAATAAAATTTCAATAAAACCTTAAAACATAGAGATTTACTTCTTTCTAATCCTTTTTTCCTAATCCTTTTTATATATATCCTATATATATATATATATATATATATATATATATATATATATATATATATGTATATATACAGGGTGTCCATAAAGTTCGTGTGCACTTTAAAAAATTTATAACTTTATTTGTATTTGAGATAGGAATAATCTGTAAAAAATGTTATAAAGTTTAATGTACCTAGTTTTAAGTATAGCTAAAATAACTAATGGGATTTCAAGCATTACTGTAAATCAGTTAGCAAACGTTTTCCGTTAACTGCAAAATCGTATTACCCTTTGTATTGTTAATGATCGAGGACATGTGGAAACTTAGATAAAATTTCAATAAAACCTTACAAAACATAGATTTACTTCTTTCTAATACTTTTTTACAAATTATTTCTATCGCAAATACAAATAAATTTATAAAATGTTTAAAGTGCACACGAAATTTATGGAGCTCTATATATATATATATATATATATATATATATATATATATATATATATATATATATATATATATATATAGATATAGATAGATAGATAGATATAGATATATATATATATTCATCTATCTGAATTTCTACATTATTATGTTTGTTCATATCCTTTTCTTTTTAACATAAGTTCAACATACTGGTTTCCGCTTATCTATCTATCTGTCTATCTATCTATCTATCTAAATATGTTCATTATCAATCTGTCTGTTCATATCTATCTATCTATCTATCTATCTATCTACCTGTAGTCTGCTCAGACATATCTATCTATTTATCTATCTGCAGCCTGCACATATCTACTTATTTATCCGAAGTCTACTCAAATTTATCTATCTTCACATATCTATTTGTCAATCTGCAGTCTACTCAGATTTATCTATCTATCCATCTGTCTATCTAGCTAGCTATCTTCTTAAAGTGCTGCAATTTGTTCGACACTTCCATTCCCAAGGGAGATCATTTTGTCAAAAAAAATCCACCTGAAAGAATAAATATATACCATTGACTCACTGGTTTCAGTGCAAAAAAAAATGCTCTATGGCGCGTGAGATGAAGTCGCGATATAAGGTTCGGAGAGATCTATCAACCCGAGGAAAATTATAGCCCGAGAATCTTTAGGAAGGGAAGAAAACAGATAGGAAAGATCATTTTTTTTTGTAAAACAGGTTATGCTAAAAGAGTTAACTTGGATAATCGTTGTTCGGTTCCGGGAAGACTTCTGAACGTTCTTCCGTTTACTTCCACAGTCTTTTCAATGATCGCTCAATAAAGCTTCTTCAGCGAGATGCCGCAGGCGGAATTATCTGACGCCTCTCAGAAGTCCAAGCAAGCGATCCTTATTGTCATTTGGAGATCTATCGTCTAAAACTAAGAAGGGGAAGAATTAGGACCCCGAGAAAAGTGGGAGTAAAGTAAGAGAGAAAAAGAATTACGTAAGAGTAAAGAGAATTGAGACAGAAAGAAGAAAGATAGAAAGGATATATATATATATATATATATATATATATATATATATATATATATGTGTGTGTGTGTGTGTGTGTGTGCGTGTGTGTCTTTTTGCTATATCTACTTATCACTCTACTGCCAATATAGTTGAATATGACAGACAAGGAAACGCTGATGATTTTTTATTGAGTATATATAGTATTTTTAAATTTGTCCGTTTGCTGGGGAGAAGAGCGTGTAAAAATTATTAACATTTTTACTACTATTTATAAATACTTGTTGCAAAACAAAATCCTTCCATTTGCCTTGATAAAGTCCAGTAGAGGACGAAACGCGTCGGCTAAGATAGGGTTTCTTTTTGTCTATTTTGTTTTTGTGTTTGTATATATATATATATATATATTTATTAAAGACATTTTATGTTTAACGTTGTTATTTTATAGATACAAGTATTTAAGCAAATGCTCTGTTTATGATAAACAGTATTAAATAACATTTACCGGCCTGAATGTCCGAGAAATTTTCATAGAAAATATTCGTTTATTGACAGAATTCGAACCTGCATCCTATACGGAACCGTCATTTACGCTGACGTGCCTTACCTCCTGGGGCCACAATGAACCTTATGGTAGACAAGGTCGAATTTACTGTTTATAAACTACAATCTTCCATTCTCGTAATTCATAACTGCTCTGGCGTATCGAATGTAAACAAATGACGTCATATGTTAAGAAATGGACAAGGTCCGACAATTTATTTATTAAAGACATTTTATGTTTAACGTTGTTATT